TATTTTTATTTTTTTTAAATCATATTTATTAAAGTTTCCAAAAATATAAAAATACAAAGAAAAAAGACAAAAGAAAGAAGATATTTAAAATCCTTACTTTCATTCCCTACTTTCTGGGACTCCCCCCCACCCCCCCCCCCAATTGTATTCCCCTTTCCTTAATTTGGTTCTACAAGCTCTCACTCCCAATTTAAAGCTTAATTTGTTTAGCCCACTATCCAGATTGAGTTGTACAAATCTTACCACCGTCCCACATCATTAACAGAAAAAGAAAAAAGATTTTCCCCAAGATCTACCCCAGTTCCTTCCACAAATTCCCTTTTTTTTAAACACGTCCGATCAAAGTAAAATAACATGCGTAAGTTATGTAAAGAAATAGAAAATAAGAGATATAGAAAAATTCAAAAAATGGTTACACAGCCTTTGGATTTCAAATCTGCCCCCTTCCCCGGTTTGAATTCCCCATATCCATCAGTCTATACATTTTCAGCTTGAAGTCTCATTTCATGACCAGATTTCTCCCGATTCCATCTTGCCGGTTTTCTTTTAGTTTATTAATTTAAATAATATTTGACTTCAAATGTCCAATCTAACAAAGGCCTTTAATTTCCTTGATCTTTACCACTCCTCCCGTTGTTCTTTCCGTGTCGTAATCAGTCCTTTATTCTTCTTATTCCTCCCTTTCTCAGGTTTCTTGTCCTGTTCAGCTGCTAAAACTTTCTAATTCAGAAATCTAGTGTCTCTGCAGAGGTTTGTTATTCAGGAACAAAAACTTACGTCCAGTCCCTTTCTTTCTTCAATAAAAAATTCCATTGTCTTCCTCTGTAGACAAAATACTCTTTCAGTTTTGCAGCTTTCCCAGAAGATAACAAATCCTGTGCGAATCCCAGGGTATTTTCCACTTACGACCGTTCTTGTAGTATCCCGAAACCCCTCTAGGGGGATTGTAATAACTTTGTATCCTCTAATCCAAAAGTCAAATTGTTGCTTATTTTCCAACAGTTTATATCCATATTATAGCAAATTGTAACAAAATTAACCAGCAAGGTCCTCATAACAAAGTCCTCTTTATATTCTCCAGCTTTGACAGCCACTTTGACAGCTGTCAAAGTCTCCGTCTCTCTTCACCAGGCTCCACGAATCGCCCCGGTTCCCAGGGGGGGGGTTGCATTTTTCTTCTCACCCTCCACTCTTCTCCTCCAGCACATTTCTTATAATTTCCCATCGTGAAATTAATGATTTTATCAGAGACATACTTCCCTTTGGACCTTGGTTACCCAGTCCTTGTTTTGGAATGCTTACAATAGGGGGGGGGATTGACTTCCTTTTAAATCGCCCCCGCTCGTGCCAAATCCAAAATTTTGAACCCGGTTTCCCAATTACTCACGGGTTGTTGTTAATAGTCCAAATTTTCAATAGAAGAAGTCAGCGCTCTCCGTCGAATGGCATGCGGCTGCGCTCGGCAGGAAAGCAGTGGACTCAAAGCACCACGCCACTCCCGGCACCCGATCCGAAGCCTTTAAAAGGCTCCTTCACGAGTCGGGAGGGCGCTAATGGTGCAAGCCGAGTCACCCATGTCCACGGACTCCGTGCCCGTGGTTTTTAAGGGTCCCCGCGTCGCCGGCGCGGTAGGACCCAGCCCCTGCCGAGCAGACTCCCTCCGGAGCTCGGAGGGAGTCCGCCATTCGGCGATGGCGCTAACCCGGAAGTCTATTATTATTATTATTATAGGCAAAGGTCCAAAGCCCAGGACAACTCAAAACAAGGCAATGGTCTCACGCTTCACTCCAAAGGTCCAGAAGACGTCTAGATCTTTCTTCGTCGTTGACTCGGGAGCGACCAGACACATTTGTCGAGACAAACATCTCTTTGTGTCCTTTACTCCGCAGGAAGGTGCGATTCACCAGGCGGATAACCACACGATCTCCAGTCAAGGCTATGGAACGGTTGTTCTTCACAGCTTGGATGCATCGATTGTTCCAGATGCTGCACACAACCTACTGAGTGTCTCGCAGCTGACTGAACAGGACATAGACGTTTCCTTTAAGAAGAGGAAGTGCACTATCACCAAGAAAGATGACTTTGTATTGCATGCTGATTATATTGATCATTTATTTGTATTCCATTATGATGAGTCTGTTGATGTTGTGCAGGATGAAACTTGTTGTATTGCAGGTTCTAATAAGGTTTTGCATGCAGGATGTATTCATGATTATCACCGGAAATTTGGTCATTTGAACTTTGAGGCAGTTTCCAAAATGCCTGCCTTAGTTGAAGGTGTGACTGTTAAACCATGCAGGTACCACATGAAGTGTAAGGCATGCACAGCAAACAAGGTCAAAATGGCTGCAAAAGGTAAAGTGTCTAGTAGACAAGCTACAAAACCATACCAGGTAGTGCATGCTGATCTCGTTGGTCCACTATCACCCTCTTTGGGTGGAGCCAGGGATTTCATGGTCCTCATTGATTCATTTTCCAGGTATATTTATGTGTTCAATCTCAAGCAGAAATCAGAAGCATTTCCTAGGTTCAAGGAATTCTGCGCTTGGTTGGAAAATGTGCATGGTAAACAGGTGAAGTGTCTATTTACAGGTCGAGGGGAAGAATTCACTTCTCAGCAGTTTACAGCTTTTCTGACTGAGAAAGGAATTCAACATGATTTGTCAAGTCCACCGTCTCCTTGGATGAATGGACTTTGTGAGAGGGCAAGCCAAACATTGCTTCAAGGCTTGAAAACCTTGCTGCATGATGCCAAACTTCCAGAGAGTTATTGGGCAGAATTGCTCAGCTGTTTTGTTTACACTTATAATCGCAGATTAACATCATTGATTGGTTGTACCCCCTATGAAAAGATGTTTGGTAAGAAACCATACATCAAGCACATGAGAATTTTTGGTTCTGACATGTGGGTTCACACACCACAAAGCTCCAAGTTAGGCAAGCGTGGTTTACATGGTATCTTTCTAGGGTATCAGAAAGGTTCTTACAGAGTAATGATGACTGACTCTAAGACAATTAGGCTCACTAGAAGTGTTGAGTACAATGCCAAGTGGGGGGAGACTATGGGGATTTTCCAATGTTATCCTGATGACAGTGAAGAGACTGAGGAAAAGCAACAGCAAAACCCTACACCCACTGATGAAGGTTCTGATTCTGAATCTGAAACTGAATCGGATGATTCAGAGGATTTCAAGAGTGCGAAAGCCTCAATGCGACCCTCTGAAGGCTCTGATCGAGAATTGTTCACCATAGGCCACTTTTCTCCTAAGAAAGAAGGGGAGAGTGTTGAAGACTTACATTTAATTCGCAGGTCTGAAAGAGCCACGAAAGGTAGACCTCCAAAGAGATTTGCTGATGAATTTGCTAAAGCAGCAAAAGCTGTAACTGCTGTTAATAGCTCCAATAAGGTATTTGAACCTTCAAGTTTTCAAGAAATCCAGGCTTTGGATTCAAAGGCGTCTGAGCTGCCATGAGGCTTGATTCCTTAGCTTGATTCCTTGATTCCTTAGAGAGGAACAAAATATGGGAGCTATTTCCAGTAGTTCCAGGAATGAGGCTGGTTAGCAGCAAATGGGTCTTCAAAGCGAAGACAGATCAAAATGGCAAGATAGTCAGACACAAAGCCAGATTGGTAGCCAGAGGTTTTTCACAGGTACAAGGAGAAGACTATCACGAGACCTACTCACCCACCGTGAGATATGAGAGCATTAGGCTTATGCTCAAACTTGCTGCAGAAGAGAATGTACACGTTTCTCATCACGCTGTTGTGCTGGACCCGGGGGGGGTTTACTGAGAGGCGTGGTCAGAGTCCGGTCCTGGGTTGAGGGTCTGGAGACTGTCCACCAAGGGCGAAGTGGGGTCCAAAGCAGGAAGGCAGGCGTGGTCAGGAACTCCGGAAGAACAGGTCTGGGTGCTGGCAGAAACAGGTTTCCAACGACGTTGCTCCTGCAACCTGGGACCAGGCTGACTGGCCTTTATCTTCTCTGAGGCCAGGGGTGGTCCCGGCCCACAGGTGACCCGCCTCTCCTGGCCTTAAGGCGAGCACTCCTCCTGAGAGAACCCAGTTCCCTCTGCCTCGCTGCCCTGAGCCTCTGCAGCTCAGGAGAGGCTGGAGGGTTACTGGACCCAGAGGGAGGCTCACTTTCCCCTGACAGGGCTGGGAGAGGCGCACCTGTAGGCAATGGGTTCTCAATCACCTCCAGAGCCAGAGTGGATTCATCTGGTGTCTGCTCCTGAGGATCTGGCACAGGTGCAGGCGCTGCAGATTCAAGGTCCTGCCCCGGCTCAGTTGGCACTGGAGGCGGGGACTCCTGTGCAGGCTGGGATTCCTCTGGTTCAGCCTCTGAATCAGACTCCCAGGCCATCACACCATCCCCCCTCCCAGGCCCCCCCCTCAATCGAGGGTCCAGACCCGGCTTGCTGGGGTATGCCACAAGGAAATCACGGAGGCAGGCTGCTGGTTCCCATAAACGACCCTCGGGCCCATACCCCTTCCAGTCTATGAGATACTGCAGCTTTCCCCTGCAGTATCGGGAGTCCAGAATACGTTCCACTTCGTACTCGGGCTCCCCCTGAACCAAAACTGGCTGCGGTCGGGGACGGTTCAGGTGGAACTCATCAGGCGGGGCCACCGGACTCAGAAGGGACCTGTGCAATACCGGGTGAACCTTCAGGGTTGCGGGAAACCGGAGATGGAATGCCACAGGTGAGACCTGGTCCACGATGGGAAACGGGCCGGTGAAGCGGGCGTCCAGCTTCCGCGAAGGCCGAGAGGGGTGGAGGTGACGAGTGGAGAGCCATACCAGGTCACCGACGTGGAGTTCCGGCCCCACCTGGCGGTGGCGGTCGGCCTCGGCCTTGTATGCCTCCTTGGCCTGGCACAGTTGCTCCATCAATAGCTGTTGCTGAGACTGGAGCTCCTGAAGCCACTCTGTCACTGCAGGGACTGCGGATGCCGGCAGCACATCCAGGAACAACCGCGGATGGTAACCGTAACTGGCCTGGAACGGGGTCTGCTGGGTGGACGCATTCACCGCGTTGTTGTAAGCGAACTCCGCCAACGGTAGGTGGTCGACCCAGTCATCCTGCTGGTAGCTGCAGTAACACCGGAGGTACAGCTCCAGCACCGCGTTCGCCCGTTCCGTCTGGCCATCGGTCTGTGGGTGGTAGGTTGACGATAGACAGACCTCTGTCCCAAGGGTCTGGTGCAACGCTCGCCAGAAACGGGATGTGAACTGGACGCCCCGGTCGGACACCACACGCTCAGGTAGGCCATGCAGGCGGAAGACATGCTGAAGGTATAGCTGAGTGGTTTCCTTAGCTTTGGGTACGGATGGGCAGGGGGCACAGTTCACCATCTTAGTGAAATGGTCTGAGAAAACTAGGAGGCAGGTACAGCCACGAGACGGGGGTAAATCCACCACAAAGTCCAGCGAAACCGTGTGCCATGGATGTGGTGGGACTGGCAAAGGCTGAAGTAGGCCGGGGGGTCGCTCGGTAGGGCCCTTGGCCCACCGGCAGACATCACAACTAGCAACGTAGCGAGCCACGTCAGCCTTCAGGTGGGGCCACCAAAACTCGAGGCTTACCAGATGGGTCATCCGATACCGCCCAAAGTGTCCTGCCGCTGAGGCATCGTGGGTCATCCGGAGGACCTCAGCCCGCAGTGGCCCTGGCGGGATGTACAGGCAACCGTGGTGCAGCAGTAGGACCTGGTGCAATACCAGCCCCGGATACTGAGGGCATGACCCTTCGGCCAGTTCCCGGAGTCGTTCTTGAGCCCAAGCGTCGACCCGCTGCTGTTCCCGCACCCGAGCTTGCAGTGGCTCAGCCTCCTGAGTGGCCAGGAACACAGCCGGTGGTAGGATCGTGGTTGGTACTGCTTGCCGTACCGTGTCTGCGATGTCTTCGGGTTTCCAGGACAGGGCATCCGCCTTCTGATTTTGGGAGCTAGGGATGTAGCGGATCCGGAACTGGAACCAGGAGAAGAACAACGCCCACCGGATCTGCCTTTGGTTCAGCTTGCGGGTGGTCTGAAGGTACTCCAGGTTCCGGTGGTCGGTTCGCACGTCCACTGGGTGTCGTGGCCCCTCAAGATGGTGGCGCCAGACCTCAAAAGCCACCTTGATGGCCAGTAGTTCCCGCTCCCACACGGTATAGTTACACTCCGCCAGAAGGAGCTGGCGGGAATAGAAGGTGCAGGGTAAAAGTGGCACATCAGGTCCGTGCTGCTGAGACAAGACGGCACCAAGAGCTGTGCTGGAGGCGTCGGTCTCTACCACGAAGGGTCGAGAGGGATCAGGATGCTGCAAAATCGGCGCCCTCTGAAAACAGGCTTTCAACCCCTGAAACGCCTCGTCTGCCTCCTTGTCCCAGGAAAATGGCGTCTTGGGATGCAGCAGTCGGGTCAACGGGGTGGTGCAAAGAGCATAGTCTGCAATGAAAGTCCTGTAATAGTTGGCGAACCCCAGGAATCGCTGTAGGTCCTTGCGGTTCCGAGGTGCCGCCCACTCCCGAACCGCTGCCACCTTCCCAGGATCCATCTGCACCCCATCTGGAGAGAGTCGGTGACCGAGGAAGTCCACTGACCGCTGATGGAACTTGCACTTGCTGGGCTTCGAATACAGGCGGTGCTCCCGCAAGCGCTGCAGCACGGTCCAAACATGACCCTCCTGGCGAGCCAGGTCACGGGAGTAAATCAGAATGTCATCTAGGTACACCACCACGTACTTGTCTAGCCATTCCTGGAACACGTGGTTGATGTACCGTTGGAACACAGTGGGCACGTTGCACAACCCGAAAGGCATTACGAGGTATTCGAACTGCCCATACCGGGTCCCGAATGCTGTCTTCCACTCATCCCCGGCTCAGATCCAAATTAAATTGTAGGCCCCCCCGGAGGTCTAGCTTCGTGAACACCTGCGCCCCTTGCACCCGCTGCAGCAACTCCGAGATAAGGGACAAGGGGTACCGTTCTGGGATGGTAATCTTGTTCAGGGCCCGGTAATCATGGCAAGGACAAAGCTCCCCACACTTCTTCTTAATGAAGAGCACTGGTGCAGCGGTGGGCGAGGTAGAAGGCTGAATGAACCCACGTTCCAGGTTCTTGCGCAGGAAGTCCTGCAAAGCTTCGCGCTCTGGCTCTGTAAGAGAGTATAAGCGACTCACAGGCAGGGGCGCTCCGGGCTGGAGGTCTATACCGCAGTCGAAAGACCGATGCGGTGGCAGCTGGTCTGCCCCCCGTTCCTCGAACACGTCTTGGTAGTCGCGGTACACAGCGAGGAGCGTTGATGCAGCCTCCCCTGGGGGTGCAGCCACTAGCATCTCGGACCGAGCATGGGGACATGGGTCTGGGAAGCAAACAGATCGTTTGACCCAGTCGATCTGAACATTGTGTGACTCCAGCCAGTCCATCCCGAGCACCAGGGGGAACCGGGGCATGGAGGCAATGTCCAAAGTTCGCACCTCCCGGTGCTGCGGGAGACATAGGACCAAGGGCTGGGTCTCCCGAGTAACGGCACCTGAACGCAGGAGCCCTCCGTCAATTGCCTCCACCTGTACTGGTTCTGGCTTGTCCTGAAGTGGCACCTGATGATGGGCGGCAAAGGCAGCGTCCATATAGGAGCGGGTTGCCCCCGAATATACCAGAGCGTGGGTGAGAATCCAGGGCCCACCTGGAGGGTATAGACGCACCGGGACCATGAGGTGTCACAATTCCACTGGTGAGGGCCCCTCTTGCATGGTTTGGGACCCCAGGTTGCCAGGGCCTTCGGCTACCGGGGTTGGCGGTTTTCCTGTGGCTGGCATCTTCTCTGGACAGGATCGGGCGTAATGTCCACTCCCACCGCAGTAAAGACACAGGTTCCCCTCCCGATGCCGCGTCTTCTCCGAGGGGGAGAGGTGAGGTCGTGCTGCCCCGAGCTGCGTTGGCTCGTCCGGCAATCGGCTGTGGCCGTGGACCTGCTGGTAAGGACTGGAGTGAGAAGCCGGGAGTGCGGGCGGTTCCGGGCCTGGCGACGGTCCTCCAACCGATCGTCTATCTGCGGGCTTCGCTGAATGAGGGCGTCCAGCTTGGTGGGACGATCCATCGTGGCCAGCTGGTCCAGTATCTCGTCCGAAAGCCCCTCAAGATACTCGTCCTGCAGTGCAGAGTCATTCCAGGACAAGTCCTGCACCAACAGCCGAAATTCTGTGGCGTAGGCGGCGGCTGTGGACTTGTCCTGTCTCAACCGACGAATCGCCCGATTGGCTTCGCTCCCCTTCAGAGGGCTGCCAAACGCAGTCTCCAAGTGGTTACAAAGCCCCACATAGTCTGTCAGCAAAGGAGAGTCTTGCCGGAGCAATGGCAAAGCCCACTTGGCCGCCTGGTCCTTCAGCAAGCTGATCAAGAAGTGCACCTTGGTGCGATCGTCAGGAAAATTCCGGGCTCGCCCCTGAATATACTGCTTGGCCTGGGCGAGGAACATGGGGAAGCTGGCCGGGGACCCATCAAATTTCTTTGGCAGGGCCACTGGGTACTTGCCAGAAACTGGGGCGTCGGCCCCAGGAGCCGGTAAGGCGTCCAAACGCTGCTGAAGCACCGTAACCGCATTGCTGAGCTGCTGAACGGTGTGAGTCAAGGCCTGGTTCTCCTGTGCCAATGCCACCAACGCAGCTGCCTCGTCGGCCACGGCTTCTGGCTCTTCCCGAACGCACCCCAACGAAGGGGGAGTGCGGGTGTGGCGGGAGCAAACTGTGCTGGACCCAGGGGGGGGTTACCTGTTGGTTTCTGCTTTCCTTCACTGTGCAGCTCTGCTTGTCACGAGACAGGTGTTTACATTCCACAGTCTGTACTGTTGGAGTTTCTCACGGGAAAGGGAGACTGGATGTGACGTACACTGGTTTCCTGTTTTTCACTGTGTGATTCTCTCCGAGCTGTCGAGGAGAGAGGATGCATTTTCTGCTCCGGCAGAGGCAAGATGTCTTTCTGTAATATACCAGCTTTGAACTGTAAATAAAGCAATATAGAGTATGTAGCACGTACTCCTCATCCTTCCGCTGGGCACCAGACTCTGCTTTAAATCAACACGTGGTTATGGGCTCCAGAAGTCGAGTCGGAGTGCCGGCAAAGGATCGGAATGCAGAGGGACAGAGCGGAACGGAATCTGCTCTGCGCGTAGAAGTGATTGATGAGGTATGTGCTACTGCTCCGGGCAGCCTGCCAGCTTCAAGTTAATGGCTTTATGGCTGGACTTTGAACTTTTAAAGCCGGTTTTGCCGGGAATAGGCAAAAGGCTCCCAGGCACAAGTCACTATGCTGGGGAAATCGAAGTAACTTTTAAGTGCGCTTTGTAATAAAGCAGCTGCAGCAGTGACGCAGCAAGATTTAAAGCAGCATATGACGCTGAAGGCTAATGCCAGAGTCATGATGGCCCTTCAGGATGCTTGTGGGATTCCTAAGCTCAACAAGAAAAATTACAGCGACTGGGTTCAGTATGCAGAGGCAATTCTGCGGAAAGAGGGTTTGTTTGAGGTGATTACAGAAACCCCCAGTTCCAGTTACAGATGCATGGGAAGCTAAGGATTCCAAAGCAAGGGGAACTCTTACATTGATAGTATCCCCAGAAGAGCTCTGTCTATTGCGTGATAAGACCTCAGCCAGAGAAATTTGGGACGCTTTGAGAGAGGCTCACTTAAGGACAGAAGCTGGATCCACTATGTTTTACTTTAACAAGCTGCATAATATGGCTCTTGCTGAAGGTGGAGATGTGCGTTTACATCTGATGGAGATGCAAAATCTGAGACATGAGCTGCAACAGAGAGGACTCAACTTTCCAGAGGCTGTGTATTCTTTCATGATACTACAATCTTTGGGTTCAGGTTGGGAGTCTGTTGCAACCCAGATTGCTGTGCAACCAACTGCTCAGCTGACAGTGGACTTTGTTACTGCCGTGATTTTAAATGAAGCAGATCGCCGGGTGCTAGCTGCATGGGCAAGGGGAGTCTTCACAGACGTCATCCCATAGTGCAGTGGAACCACCAGATGGCGCCAAAGCTTTGAAGGCAGTGAAATGCTACTCGTGTGGACGTCTAGGCCATATGAAGAGGGAATGCAGACATCCCAGGGCCAAGACAGAGCAGCGCAGCGAAAGCTCATCGCGCGGAAAAGGCCGAGGCAAAGGCAAAGGTCCGGTGTCAAGGACAACGCAGCACAAGGCTATGGTTTCACGCTTCACTCCAAAGGTTGCAGAGGTCCAGAAGACGTCTAGATCTTTCTTCGTTGTTGATTCAGCGGCGACCCACCACATGTGCAACGATAAGAAACTGTTTGTGTCTTTTACACCGCAGGAAGGTGCGATTCACCAGGCGGATGACCACACTATTCCCAGTAAAGGCTACGGAACTGTTGTTCTTCACAGTTTGGACTTATCGATACAGAATGTGCTTTACGTGCCAGACGCCAAACATAATCTGCTCAGCGTTGGACAGCTGAATGAGCGGAACATTGACGTTTCCTTCAAGAACAAGAAGTGCATCATCACAAAGAAAAATGATTATGTATTGCATGCAGAATATGTTGATCGTTTGTTTGTTTTGTATTATGATGATGTGGTGCAGGATGACACTTGTTGCATTGCAGGTTCTAACAAAAGTTTGCATGCAGAATGTATTCACGATTTTCATCGAAAATTTGGTCATTTGCATTTTGAGGCAGTATCTAAAATGCCTGCCTTGGTTGAAGGTATGACTATTAAACCCTGCAGGTACCACATGAAGTGCAAAGCATGCGCAGCAAACAAGGTGAAAATGGCTGCGAAAGGTAAGGTGTCTAGTAGGAAAGCTACAGAACCATACCAGGTTGTTCATGCTGATTTGGTTGGACCACTAGCGCCCTCTTTGGGTGGAAATAGATACTTCATGGTTCTCATTGATGCATTTTCTAGATATATTTTTGTGTACAATCTCAAGCAGAAATCGGAGGCTTTTCCTAGGTTCAAGGAATTCTGTGCTTGGTTGGAAAATGTGCATGGTAAGAAGATAAAGACTCTTTTCAGTGATCGCGGGGGAATTCACTTCTCAGCAGTTTGAAGCTTTTCTGACTGAGAAAGGAATTCAACACGATTTGTCTAGTCCTCGCTCGCCATGGCAGAATGGACTTGCGGAACGGGCAAATCAGACATTGCTTCAAGGGTTAAAGACCTTGCTGCATGATGCCAATCTTCCAGAGAGTTATTGGGCCGAATCTCTCTCGTGTTTTGTTTACAGTTACAATCGCAGGTTATCTTCAGCGATTGGTTGTACCTGCTATGAGAAGATGTTTGGCAAGAAGCCATACATCAAACACATGAAGATTTTTGGTTCTGACATGTGGGTTCGCTCACCACAAAACTCCAAGTTAGACAAGCGTGGATTGCATGGTATCTTTCTAGGTTATCAGAAAGGGTCTTACAGAATAATGATGACTGACTCTAAGACAATTAAGCTCACGAGAAGTGTCGAGTACAATGCAAAGTGGGGCAAGAATGTGGGAATTTTACAATGTTATCCTGATGACGGTGATGAGACTGAGGATAGTCAAAAGCAACCACAACAGCCCACACCCACTGATGAAGGTTCTGAGTCTGAATCTGAAACTGAATCGGGTGATTCAGAGGATTTCGAGAGTGCGAAAGCCTCTATGCGACCCTCTGAAAGCTCTGATCAAGAATTGGAGGAACCATTGTTCACAATAGGTCGTTTTTCTCCTAAGAAGGAAGAGGAGAGTGTTGAAGACTTAAGGCTAATTCGTAGGTCACAGAGAGCCACAAAGGCAAACCTCCAAAGAGAT